CTAAAATATTAAACAACTCTCATTGCAAGGAGAGACTGAAAAATTTAAAGATTGAAAAATTTAGTTTTTTAAAACAGTCAACTTACATTAAATAAATTATCTTTCACACAGGAGACGATATCTCAAAGTCTGTATAAAATATGTGGACAAAATAATAACAAAACGTATAAATATTTGATATATTCATGTCCGATGTGGTCTAACCCCGAAAGACCTTTTTATATATAACGTCACTTTGGATTAATTTGAATTCAAGCATTCCTAAAAATTCAAGGATGAAGATGAATAGAATCTTAACACGGTGACAACCCCAGGTTCTTGATTATGAATGAAATGGTCAAATGTACTTTAAAAAAAAAACGCAAAATAATGACAGTTTATCGACAATTTTGAACCCAGTATACAAATTGTTTGAAAACTGGAAAGATACAATAAATACTTGTTTGTATAGTACAAATATACTGAAATGCTTATGTATATACTTCTTAAAGATATATCTAAGTTACAACTAAACAGTTTAAAAACAAATAAATTATAACCTTCAAATAAATTTCAATTATTAACTAAGTTACCTCCCTTACATCAAAATTTTTAAATTATGAAATTGATGTTATATTCACGAGCATATTCATAATTGCAATAATTCAACCACATAGAATTTCTGTTATAGTATATTTTTTAATCAGCGTTTGTGACTTTGCACATAACCGGGAGTGTTAACGGTTCAACCACAAAAGCAAAAACTTATTTCAAACAAACACAATTATTTATCTTAGCCCTGATGATGATATTGGAATATATCGAAATTATATCGAATTATATTCGAATATATCGAATGAATAAATATAACCACAGTACCTTTCATGTTGTCTTTAATCAGGAAACAAGAAAGCTGAAGGGCCTGGGTAGGACGATAAACTACATCCGCGTCCTGGGTAAGACGATAAACTACATCCGCATCCTGGGTAGGACGATAAACTACATCCGCGTTCTGGGTAAGACGATAAACTACATCCGCATCCTGGGTAGGACGATAAACTACATCCGCGTCCTGGGTAAGACGATAAACTACATCCGCATCCTGGGTAGGACGATAAACTACATCCGCGTTCTGGGTAAGACGATAAACTACACCAAACAGAAAGGTATTTGACCAGGAGATTTTGAAGTGCGTGGAACCGCCTCTTAATTGCCGGTGTTATCAAGTCCACCTTGACCCGGGGTGGTAGCACCTGTTAGGGTCTCAACTATGCGCCAATAGTTAACCCTCGAACTGGGGTCAAAACAATATGAAACTTTAAAAAGAGGTTTTAATACAAGCAATACATTTTTGTAAAAAAATATTACTAACAATATATAATTACCAGCAATAAATTAAAAAAAAAATACTAGCAGCAATACATTTTTACCAACAATACATTTTTAGAAGAAAAATATTGCCAGCAATACATTATTACCAAAAATACCTTTTTGGAAAATAAATATTGCTAGCAATTCATTTTTGGAAAAAATATTGCTAGCAATACATTTTTTGAAAAAAAATATTACCAGAAATACATTATTACCAACAATACATTCTTGGAAAAAAAATTGCCAGTAATTCATTTTTGGAAGAAAAATATTACCAGCAATTCATTTTTGGAAAAAAAATATTGCCAGCAATACATTTTTGAAAAAATATATCCCGCAAAATATTTTTGGAAAAATGTTACCAGCAGTAAATACCTTGTCGGCATTAAATAACCCATTGAGGTTGATAATCCGTAAAACAAACCAAACCAAACCAAGAAAACTTATACGTAATTGCAAAAGGATTTTATTGAAAATAAATAAACGCAACACATTTAAATTGTTTAATTAGACATGCTTAAATGAAAATATGCTACCAAAATACACGGAATTTAAATTACATGATCCAACAGCTTCACAGAATTCCAATACTTGGAAATATAATTGTAGCTTTGTGAAAAGGTAAATACTAGAAAGAAAATACATCTACAATAAACTCAAGCAGACAATACTCCTGATCAAATAGAAAAAAGATTATACATAGACTTAGGAAAGTCACTAATAATTCAGAATGTCAACACCGGTTAATAATTAAAAAAAACTGAATGCGCTATATAAAGGACTAGCTGTAGAGCCCGGCGTTGCCCGGGGATGTAACAGTAAGAGATAGATCAAGTATCGACCATCATAAAGACTGAAAAATAAAATTGACAAAGATTATTGTTTAAGGTTGACGGACACGCATGCCTTAATTAGTTTTTTTTTTTTTTTTTTTTTTTTACGAATTGGTCAAACCCAAACTCAAACAAAAAGATTGTTTTTAATCGTTATGAGTCTACCGATTGAATAGAATTTTATTATAAACAATTGTCTTGTAAATGGAATTTTTTAAAGCATTCTGAATGTAAAAAATAAAAGAAAAAGGTGTGCAAGACAATAAGAAACACTACCTGCCAAAAAAACAGTGAAGTTTTTTATTTGAAATCGGTTGAAAAATGTAGGAAATCCGATCCCATATATAAACGAACACACACACACACAAGCAACCTGGGTTTTTATAATAATATAACTCGATATGAGTTGACCCCCTTTCATTCTCGCAACAGTGATGCCTTTTAATCGTGTTTTCAAATTGATTTCGTACAAAAACGGTTGTGTTTTTCCAATTTTTGGCGCTGTCAGAACCACCGCAAGGTAATTTTACGTAGTCCTGTGAAGTTTTGTTGAAATCGGTTGAAAAATGTAGGAAATCCGATCCAATATATAAACGTACAGACACACACACACACACACACAATCTGCCTTTTATAATAAGTAAGATCTATCCATCTTCCGAACAAAGTGGATATATATATACATCAATATTTCCAACTATGAATTAACTAAACATCAAAAGGAATTACTAAAGCTGGGACCCAACTGTCATCTATACCGCAAATATAATAGTTTAAATTAAATAAATGAAATATAGATATTACATCAAAGTAGAGAAACACTTCAACAAGAGCAGCTGATAACAACGGAACCAGTATTTCGGAACCTGCTCAAAGCTGAGGTTATAAAAGATAGACATGATAAACGGTAAAATTCTTCTAAACTACTAACAAAACCATTAAAAATCACTGCCGAGGAAACATCTGGATATTATTGTTAAGAAAGCAGATACAAGAAAAATCTTTGTAGTTTTAAACAAATCTGATTATAATACAAAGATAAAACAAATACTTGATGACCACACTAAATTTCAAAAAGTTAACAGGAATCCTGTTAAGCAAGTGAAATTACAAATCAGCAAACGAGTCATAGATAATAATGCAGACCAGGATAATCTAAAACTTCCCAAACATTTCATTATAAAACTGGTTACACTTTTGAAACCATAAAAACACACAAACCAAATTTTCCTCTTCGCCCTATCATATACCAAATCGACACTCCTGTTTATTAACCAAAATCATTAACCAACTTATTACACCATACACCCCCAGTAAATACAGCATCAAATCAACTCTTGAATTAATCCAAATCCTAAAAACACAAAAAGCCGATAATGAAACCATAACCACATTTGATGCTGAAAATTTATTCACCAATGTCGTTAGTGAAACGATTGATATAATTATAAGAAATATATACAATAATCCATCTCTCCCTCCATTGAAAATTAGACCCAACATGCAACGGAAACTACTTTTAACTTGTACTACTAAATTTCCATTCTTTGACCGCAAAAACAACATATATGTACAACGTGGTGGTGTTTCCATGGGTTCATTTCCGGGTCCAACTTTTAATAACTTTTATATGGCTAACATAGAAAATAATATATTTAATAATTCTAAAAAAAAAAATCTACCTAAGATAAGTTGATGATGTCATCATTAGTAAAAAAACAAAAAAAACAACATTAATGAAATACACGAACTACAAAAAGAATTTTTAAAAACTTCTGTCCTTAAATTCACATATGAACTTAACAATAATAACACAATTCCGTCCACTGATATATTGATAAACACTAATTATAATACATTCACTAACTTCTCATATAAAAAAAAACTAATAAACATATGCATTATTATAAGAGCGAATGTTTTAACTATTAAAAAATAACAATTATACAAAATTTTAATGAACCGTGCAAATGTTTACTTATTCACAAGAACGATTTTCTACACTGAACTAAAATACATGAAACAAACTCTCATTAATAAAGATTTTCTTAACTACATTGTTGATGAACAAATATGCCGATCTACTAGTAATTTTAACACAAATCAAATAGAACATAATATTTCCTCAAATAACCCTAAACATGTCGTAATTAGATGCATTCTAAATATAAACAAGACAAAAAAATCCTAAAAAAAAAAAAATAATATATATTCCGGGCAGAAAAAAATAAAATATGTGCTATACTAAATTCAATACTACTAACTGCAATAACTCCATCCCACCAATTAACGCATTACAAGATCCAACATTATATATCAATTTAAATGTCCCTTAGGAGATTGCATCTCCGACGACAAAAAAAAAATGTTAATATATATATTGCATATACCACAATCACGTTATCAATAAGGCTTACTCTACACATGAATGATTCCCCTCTATTGTTCAAAATCTACAAAAAATCATTCCTGTTCAAATTCACATTTCAGGAGAATATTAGTGGGCAATACCTCACCAAGAAAGAAATAAGTAGAAACTACAAATTATTGAAGCTATCTTTATTAAAAACTTGAAATTAACACTTAACAAAATTAATTACAAATATAGTACAAATGTTCTGAAATGCTTATCGTATATAGTTCTTAAAAATATATCTAAGTTACAACTAAACAATTTAAAAACAAGCAAATTATAACCGTCTATAAAAGTATCAATTATTAACTAATATACACACGTATTAACAGCACAAACAAAGACCTGTGAAGATTAACTGATCAATAAAAAAACAAACAAAACAAAACTAAACTAAAAGTGGCTTACGGCCACATCACGTTGAGACACAGGTTCCCGTACGATCACCGAAGTTAAGCAACATCGAGCCAGGTCAGTACCTAGATGGATAAAAGTTTGGAAATACCAGGTTCTGTAAATTTGGAAGTGCGGGTGATTTAATCGATAATGGCTTGGAATTGTAGTCCAAGAGCTAAGTTTCATTTCCTGTTGGGTTCGTCTAATTCACTTACATGCAAATACCCTTGGGGAAGGTATGAAGACACCTCTTCTCCCACTAGGTATGGGTTAATTATTAAGACTGGTATCACTAAATTATTATTTCCCCCAAAATAATACTTACAGTCTAAAACTATTTTCCGGCTTTAAATAACCTGTAAAGGGTTGATAAGCCGTAGAAATTGAATGAATGAAAGAATGAGTGAAAAAAAAGAACGTGACCAAAATTGACTCCCCCAAAACATTCTGATGACGCTTAAACGAAATATGTTAAATTTATAAACGTTTTCTATTTGTTCGTCATCCGAGTATACACGTGTGTATATATATATATATATATATATATATATATATATATATATATATACAAGGTGTATCAAAAGTACTTTTACAAAATTTGGGGGCGGGTTCTTCAAGCCAAAATGAGGACAAAGTCCATACAAACATATGTCCGCAAATCCATCGTTTTTAGTTAAGTTTGAAGAAAGCTTATGGTGGATGACGCTATGTTGCCATGTAGACTAGATTACATTTGTTATTCGTGTACATTTGTGGCTAGTCTGTCTTCAACGTATAAAGTGTATAGTAGTGACTTAAATGAGAAGTGTCTCGTTTAACAATGGCAGGATATTCATATCGTGAGCAGACAAATATGATTTTTACATACAGCCGCGCGAATGCTAATGATGGCGAGGCGGCACGGCTGTATCGGACTGAATTCCCAGATCGAAGGCATTCAACCTTTGCTGCTGATTATCGTCAAAGACAGGGTCCGTGGCACTACAAAATATGGCTCGAACAAGGCCGTTAGTAGGCTTGAACATGAAGAACACATTTAACAGGTTGATCCAGGTATCAGCACACATCAAGTGGCTCTATCATGTCGTATATCTCATAGTACCGTATGGAGGGTACATCAAGAGCAGTGTGACGGTTACACACCTGGCCCAGGGTCGAATCCCTTGGTTACGGCGCCAACTGTGACGTCGCTCCTCCTGGTCGCTCCTCCTGGTCGCTCCTCTGGTTCCAAGCGTGCCGCTCCAACCCCTTGGTTGGATGATCACCAACCTCGCCTTTCCCAACTCGCTTCCAATACCTGGTTACTGAAGCAACTGTACTGATCTCCGGTCTGTCTACCCACGTTGTGTTTAGATCTTAGACAGACGGGACCAAAGGATTGGGGCCGATACAAATTGAGTCCGACGGGGGTGGCCAAAACACAAGTAAAGAAAAAAAAACCCACGAGACAAAAAAAATTACTGATAAAGGGTGACAACCTTTATATCTAATGTCCGTTACATAAAAAAAAATTGTTCTCAATTCCCGACCCGCTCTGTGGACTATGGCACCAAGCTTCTATCACACAACCTAAAAGATTTTGAATTGCCTACTCTTAGAATTTGTATGTCGGAGTGTGGTTTAGGTTCGACACTGGGGCTAATTTCTATCGATCATTCACAGTTGATTCTTCTCTTCGACTTGGTTGTATTTCTTCTTCTTCGTCGACTAAGATAGAACTTCTCTTGTCTTCGACTTGGCTGCACCTTCTCTTTGTCTTCGACTTGGCTGCAACTTCTTCTTGTCTTCGACTTGGCTGCAGCTTCTCTGCGGCTTTCGAGTAATCTTCTTCTTCGTCTGTTGGGCTGGAAGTTCTCTTGTCTTCGACTTGGGCTGGAAGGATTTCTTGCCGCAACTTTCTCTCTGCCGTCGGGTGATCTCTTCTCGCTGCCGTCGGGGCTGAACTTCTGTCTTCGACTTGGGCTGGAAGGATTTCTTGTCTGGGGATTCTCTTGCCCGCAAAGGGGCCGTGAATCGGGCCTGGCCCGCGTTCGGGCTCTATCCTGCCCGCGGTCAGCAGCAACTCTCAACTCAACTGATTTCTGTCGACTGGGGTCCTGCTTTTTATTGACGCCGCAGCAAACCGGGGTGGGTCTGTTGGCGTCAGGGTTTCTCGATAATTCCAATAGCCCGCATTAATTCTGTTTCCCCCATTATCGCTATTGTTTTCACCCCTATTTCCTCACAGTGCCTTTGGTGGGGAGGCGTACACCCATCTCTCCCGGTTTTCTCGTATGTCAGGTGACCTTTTTTGACCAATGGTTCCTGATCGAGCATTCTTCCTCTTCTTTCCGCATATCACGTGACCGCCCTCGGCCAATGAGATTGTGGTTGGGCGCCTCCATCTCAAATCGGGCGTGGCTTACATCGTTCTTGTTTAAAAAACAAAATCTAATTTTGCCCTTTTTGCACGTACGAAAAAATGACAATCTTGGCTTTTTTCTCACCTGGGCTCTGTCAAACAGCCTGCCGCTAATTAGATGTAACTTCAGGAAAGAATATTGGCGCCATCTGTGAGCTGAGACAATCGTTTTTTTCACCTCTTGTTTTGTCAGACCGACAGTCAGAAAATCTTAATTATCTACATTGAAAATGTCCCACTTTATTATCGTGGGTTTCCAATTCTTAACAGGTCAGAATCTGTATACCGTTCACCGGTCACTCCCCTCAACCCAAAGACACTTTTCTCTGATTAAAAAATTTCGTTTCTATTGTTCTAAAAAATCCCCTTTCTCCGAATTGATAATGAGTCTTTCTACGCAAAAGTCGGTCAGGTGCTTCGACAGATATTTTTATTATCAATACACTCTTATCAAGCATTGTCCCTTCTCCTCTAAATGTTTTTCCCTTCTAAATAACAATTCTCCATTGTTCTTTCGAAAAATCGGCCAAGATGTTGGCCAAATTACCTTTCTGATACGTGTTTTTTGTTAATGACCATCTTTTTTGTTATTTCTTTCTTCCTCTTTTCTTTCCCCTTCCTTCTTCTTTCCTTAGGATCGTCTAAGTACAACTTTAGTGAATTATTTTCAACTCAATTATTTTCCGTTTAAAAAAAAATCAACAACCTGTTTAATAAACCGAGTAAAAAAAAATTAAATCATATTTCTATGAATATTTCTAATAATGCAAGGTGCCACAGCAGTTTATGCATCCGTATCATTTGCAACGTGCGCGGGGTCTTTCGCCCTCTGAATCACTCACCACCGAAAGTTTTATTGCACAAACAACCAATCCGTTTTTCGTCTCTTCAGTCTTGTTTACAGATGAAATGCTAATCCTAACACCATAGAACATCATACGCATATTGATTTTTTTATTGCTGTATAATTTCTTATGTGATTTAAAAGTTTCTACCTAGACTTGAACTCGGATAGTTGGATTCTAAAATCAAGAATGCTAAACATTATAGCATAGAATTGCATGAGCATATTAATAGTTTGTTTTTTTATTACTATATAATTTTGTATGGGATTTTAAAAAGGTTCCACCGAGATTTGAACACGGACAAAAGAATTCAAAGTACAGAAAGCTGACTACTACATCATACAACAGAACGAGCTCACCAATTATTTTGTTGTTTTTTTTTTATTAATATATAATTTCTGAGGTGATTTTCAAATTTTCCATCGAGACATCGAATCAGATCGCTGGATTCATAGTACAGAATATTACATTACAGGATATAGACTGCATGGGAATCACGGTTATTTTCTCTCTTTTTTTTTACTATATAACATCTTACGTGATTTTAAAAGATTCTACAAAGACTTGAACACGGATCGTAAGGTGCAATGCCAAGAACGCTAAATATTGCGCCACAGAAACGCTTTCAAATATAAATTATTTTATATTATTATATAATTTATGATCTGATTTCAAAAATTCTACCGAGATTGGAACTCGGATAGCTGGATACAAAAATCAGAAAGCTAACAATTGCACTATAGATCCGCATACACCGCACGATTACTTTATTCATAGGAGATTCTAAATGATTCTACCGAGACTTAAACTTCGATCGATGGATTCAGAAACCAGAAAGCTAACTATTACGCCAAAGAAACGGATGCGCCACGTGATTATTTTAATTTTTTATTACTATAAAACTTCTTATGTGAGTATAAAGGTTCTACCAAAATTTGAACTCGGATAGCTGGATTCAGAATCTACAATGCTAATTGTTACAGAATAGAACCAGACGTAACACAGACTCTAGAATGCAAAATATAGAAAAGCTCATGATTATTTTTTTTTTTTTTACTATATAATTTCTTATGTGTATTCAAAAGTTCTACAGAGACTTGAACACTGATCACAGCACTTATACCTGCTGGATTCTTTTACTTTTATTATTATATAATTTCTATGTGACTGTAAATAGTTCTAACGAGACTCGAAATTAAATGTCCGGATTCAAGGCAAGTAATGGTCAACAGTAGAGCATAGAACCACTTGTAACTCGTGTTAATTTTAATTGTGATTACTACATAAAATCATATGTGATTTTAAAACGATCTGCAGAGACTTCAACACAGATCAACACATGCAGAGAACAGAATGCTAAACATTACACAAGAAAAGCGCGTACGCCAAAAGATTATTTCATTTTGTATTATTATATGATATATTATTTGATTATAAAAAGGTTATACCGAACACAGATCAGTGGAGTTAAAGTCCAGAATGCTAACCACGACACCATAGAAACGAATGGACAACACGATTATTTCACATTTTCTAAGTATATATTTACTTCAGATGTTTTAAAAAGTAGTACGAGAATGAACTCGGATCGCGGGATTATGAGTGCTGAATGCTAACCATTACACCAAAGAAACGCATGCGCTTCGAACTTATATTACGTTTTTATTATCATATAATATATTAAATGTTTTAATAGGTTCTACCGAGACTCGAACTCAGATCGCTGGATTCAAAATCCAGAATGCTAACCATTACACCACAGAAACGCTGGATGCGTCACTTCTTTTATTTCTTTTATTACTATTATCTTTCTAATATGATTTTAAAAGGATCTACCGAGACTCGAACTCAGATCGCTGGATTCAAAGTCCAGA